TCTTTCTTGAAAAGTCAAATGATATTCTACTCCCGTAAGACTAGAATGGCCGTTTACTCCCTTGAGTAAAACTCCACTAAGAATTAATTTTAGGATCCCAAATCTTTGGAATCCTAAAGTTGCTATTACGGCACTCTTTGCATTTGAAAAAATAATATATGGATATTGAATAGCACCTATCCAATTTTAGATGATGAGATCTAAGTGTTACAAAACTCAATGTTTTTCAATTTTTTAGAGCATAATCATCTAATAATTCTTAAGTGGTTCCCATAATTTCAGATTGAATAAATCATCTGAAATAGGTTTTGACCTAGTGAATAGAAGTAAACTATTCTCCAGTCGACGTGCTCGAAAATCCAAACTATTCTACCCATGTGGGAATATATAAGAGAACTAAAAAAAAAGAAGGCTAAAAGTCGTTCATATCCCAAATGCACAAGTAAACATTTCTCACAATTGTGTTCCACCCATTTCTTACCCATTATTGAATAGATTAAGGTAATAAGAACTTACCTTTTGCTCAGCCATCCCCATAGATTGTAATTTCATCCATTTGTTGCTGAGGATTTAGCAAGTAATCTACAAAGTGAGCACCAAAAGAATTCCCAGTAATAAAAGTGTGTGGAATCCTGGCCTCTTTGATAGCGCTTCTAATTTTCTTCTTAGTATCACTTATTCTTTGTAATGGAGGCAAACCATATGCTTTGCCTGCTTCGATGCCAAACTCTGAAGGGATAAACCTCTGCACATGTACTCAAACATATGTTTTAGGTGGGACTAGTAAAATGTGGATGTGAATAGAAAAAACTTTAAAAGCCGGGAATAAAGGAAGAAAAAACAAACAAAGTTATAGTACAATGATTAACCAGCAATAGTAGTGCATGTCAGCTCTTGGTGCAATCAAATTATTAATTTACCTTAATGTTCCCCACTTCTTTGATGGCATTTATGAGTATGAGTTGCTCTAAATGTTGGGGAATGGGCAACAATGAGATCACATCATCAACTTTATGAAGCACCGAAAGCAGCTTATCATATTCATCCATGTACCCCTATTATGACACAAGCTGTTAAGTAACAGTATTTCATAATTTTCTACATTATAAATGGAGGATAAAGCAAAAATTACTTGGGGTTTAAATTATCCAAATTTAAAAAAAGGTAGTCTAATTCTTATCCTTGTTTGTGATATTTTCCACCCTAAGAATATTGGTCGGGTTAAGGCTACCAATTGGGATGGACTTGACCTTAGCGAAGGCAGCCTGATGATGCTCCCAGGCCGAGCTTGGTCCTGCCCCGATCTAAGGTGACTGGGCCCATATTCAGTGCAGTTGTGGTTATAAGAGCTAGGTCATACCTATTGTTGCTTATTGACAGCCTCATACATGAAGGGCACCCCAAATGACCCATGGGCCTTTAGGCAATTGTATGAGTCCAGTAAGCCAGGCTCAAGCCTAACACGAAATTAAGTAATTTGGCCTGAATAAGGCTCTTTTCAATAAAATTTTGAGTAGGCCAACAATGGATTGGCCCATTGGCAACTGTAATCTTAGTTCTAAAGCAAATAAGCAACCACATGTGCCCATATTTCGTAGGAGTGATCTAATGCACACTTTATTTAGTACCTTGTCGTTAACTGCAAACTAGTGTTACAACATTTATATGGTATAATCCCTTTATAAAAGATGTGCAATAAAAAAATAAAATAAAAAATAAATGAATAAAATAAACAATGTACAAAAATTCTTCCAAAATTAATTACTACTCCTCCCAACCTTTTGTCAACCAAAGAATCAACCCCTTAGCCTGCATGTGCTGAGATAGATAACCCAAATAGTTGGAATAAGGCTTTGATGATGATGATACGTGTGTTGAGACTTGAAATAAGATCACATGAGTATGTCCACCCCAAGGTGCTAACGCACGATAATTAACCCCATGTACCAGTTAATGATGTTTTAAGGAATCGTCCACCACCCTTAGTTACTTTACTTATTCCATACTCATAGTAAAGAAGAAACTTGGTGTATTTTGTTGATCATAATGTAAAGGAGAAGTATAAGGGATTGTGTATTATACGACCATTTACGACTCATAGTCACTCCTAGCCATTAGATGTCAAATTGGATGGCTTGGTGTTCATTGCGAAGTTTGAGAAAGTCTTTTTTGAACTTTTAGTCTAATCAATGATATACTTAAAACTATCTAATTTAAAATTTGATAGTTAGAGTAATTGTGACATCCTTATGCTAAAAGTTAAATGGCCCGTTTGTGTAATTCTTCAAAGTATAAACATCCATCTTTGAGAATTAATACTTCAATTTTTCAGTTTGGAAATGGCCTCAAAGGTGTGCAATTTTAACATCCATCTATTATTTTAGAAATAGGACATACATCTATTACTAATAGGTGTCCTATTTTAAGAACGAAAAAGTTTATATAAGGTTGCAACTTTAAAATGTAGAATTACAGATGCACCTCAAAAATCTATCAAAAAAGGTTGTTTTAATGTTGGAAAACCCTAGATCATCTCTACAATGAGACGTATGACTATGAAAAAAAAAAAAAATGTTTTGAGTCCTAGAAATAGTGCATTTTGCAACACATTATCTAGATCGTCAATTTTCAAGGTTTTCATATGTTTATAGATCTACTTAATTTTAACCATTTGTAAAGTTTAAAATTTTATAAATCGATATGAAATAGATTTTGAGATAATCCTAAGAATTTTTTATACCAAAGTTACATGTTATGATAAAATTTGGAGGTGCACCTTTAATGGATTGTTTAAAGTTGCAACCTTATAGAAACCACACCCTTTTAAGAATTAAGCTTTATTTTTGTTTCAGAAATGAGTTTAGTGAATTGAGGTTAATAAATGTAATGTCTTGCCACATCCAGGAAGCTGAATGAACTTTCTACCTTCTTTGCTATGTGTAATAGGTCAAGATAACTTTTTCATATAGAGTGATTTGCTTGTCTCGCCTATATTTTCCATTGAAACCCTCAAACTTTTATCTCGTCTTTCCTCGTAGGAATATTGCTCTTAGGCTTGACCTTAAGAATGTCACCACGTTTGCGCTAATGTAATATGGTAAACATGACGTTCGTTAGTTTCACTCACAAAGAGGCACTATGTCTCACTCAAGATGTTGAGATTAGTGACATTTAAATATGCATCACTAATATCTCCAGATTTCCAAGAATGAGGAAGTTCCAAGAGGAAAACAACTATATACTATTTGTCACTTAAAATGATAGCAGCAACACTCATTTCATATATCTTTGTGAGTTTTTCCCTCTAATGCTCCATCATGGAGACATTTGGTGGAATTTAGTACATATTAAATGCTCGCACGAGCCCGCACAATATGTTAGCTAAGTTTTAAGCAAATTGGAGTTGTAAGGCTTACCTTATGTTTTTGGCTATTGGAAAGATTTTAAACTAACCTCTTTGGTTATTGTACATGCTGCTGAGCATAGAGATGTGTATAAAGGGCATTATTGATCCATGCTTGAGTTGTGTACCCTTACTCAAGAGCGTCCTGTTTGATGGTTAGGTTCTTCGATATTGCATACTTATCAACTGAGTATTAGAAAATGCATATCAAAATTCCCAACATCTAGAAGTTTCCTTATAAATAGTGGGCAATCAAATCCTTTTAACGCACTAGCTGTCTATGTCCGTGAAAAAAGAAAACTGCAGTAAATTCCATGTATATCTTGGTTTATTCAGACATTCATGCACACATGGGTATCATCATTCCTAGCATTCTCTTGAATCTTCAACAATTAAAAGTCAAACTTCTATATGAGAGGTACGGCCTCTTATGTATGAGAGGTATGGCCTCCCCTTAAAGAGAAAAGAGCTTCATATGGAAAGAAAAATCATGAATGTGTCTCTTGTAGATTGAGAGCTTGGTTTTTGTAAAGAAGTAGTTCCCATGAAGATTTTGGGTGGTTTCCCCTTTTAGAGAAAGAAAGTCTCAGTTGCTTCAAGGTTTTCTTCCTGGACAGTGGTTTAGTTGTAGAGCAGAGATGAGTCTATTCATGGACAGTGGTTTAGGTGTGGAATAGAGATGAGAAATCGACAGGTAGTGCCGGTCTTACGACTGAGTACAATAAGGTTTACTCGACTGGTTTTTGTCAAGGGCTATAGACGTAACTCTATGTCCCCAAATCTGTAATGTAACTTTCAATGGTCTAGTGGATTTCAGTTTGTCATATTCGTGTATTTAGCCCTCTAGGGGTGAACCACGTATATCTTTGTGTTATTATGGTGTGTGTGTTTCATGTTTTATTTCTCGTATCATGGCTCGTGCTCTTTCTTATTTTGTTTATAGCTCAATAAGTACATGATCTAGGAGGGATCCAATTTATGGGATTCTTGTTTTTGCATTCAAGAGGGTTCTGAAATCCAAACAACTGGTCTCAAAGCGCATGGTTCAGTACAAAGCTAGTGTTTGTTCACTCAATTGAAGAAAAGAACATGACAAAGTATGCACATTTTATTTGAGGTGCAGAAATATGATGACAAACATTATTTTTCAGCAAGAATGATAAAGGAATTTATTTGGCAAAAGATGGAAAATTCATAAAGCTATCCAATGGATGTTGGCATGGTGAGCAAGTGATCTTAATATCAAGGTGGAGATTGTTGGATATAGTAAGATCTAAAATCACCCACATAAAAATCTCATATTATGTGGGTTTGAGATTCATATTGATAAGTTTCCTAAAGGAAATAGAAATCTAAAAAGATTAGGACTTTGAGACATATCTCTTAGTTCTTGAGATATATGTAATGCTTATAAGAAGTTTTCTATTTAGTGTGGACTCCTACCTTATATATATAGGATGAAAGAGCAGAGAATTTGTGTGCCCTATTTGGATCACCATATGAGAAAGATGACTTCCTCTAGAGAGAGGAAAGGCAGGGGTCTCTTGTGCATGAGAGGTAAAGCTTTCCCTTGGAGAGAAGAAAGCTTTATATGGTGAGAAACACCATGAATGTACCTCTTGTAAATTGAGAGACTAGTTTCTTGTAGAGAAGTGGATCTCATGAAGATTTTGGTTATAGAGAGAGAAAGTCTGCTCTAAAGGTTCTCTTCCTGGATAGTTGTTTAGCTGTGGAATGGAGATGAGTCTATTCCTGTATAGTGTTTAGCTATGGAATAAAGATGAAAAGATCGATAGGTGGTGCCCATCGAGAGACTGGGTATAAAAGAGTTTACTAGACTGGTTTCTGTCGAGGGTTGTAAGGGTACCTCTATGTCCCAAAATCTGTAATGTAACTTTTGTCGATATAATGGATTTCAGTTCGTCGTGCCCATGGCTGTAGCCCTCTTGGAGTGAACCATGTAAATCTTCGTGTTCTTGTGGTGTGTGTGTTTTGTGCTTTATTTCTTGTATTATGGCTTGTGCACTCCTATTTTATTTCTAGCTAGATAAGTACATGATCTTGGTGGGATACAATTTTTGTGATTCTTGTTTATGCATCTACGAGGTTTCTTTTTTTTTTTTGAAGACAAGTCACGTGATTTATAGATTCAAGAAAAACCGACAAACAAATATAATATCTCCTGTCAAAACAGACTAATCAAAACATAGAAAAAACTACAACAAAGAAAAATGAAACCAGCATCCACCTAATCAACTTCTCAACAATCAAATTATTTACTGTCGCCCCGATCTTAGCAAGACCATCTGCCTCCATATTACTTTCCCCATAAACATACTTAACAATACATTCTAACTCCAAACAATAATCATTCGCATCAACAATCAAGCTATGGAATTTCCATGGATACTCCGCTTCTTGGTTAAACAATTTCACAATCTTCATAGAATCCTCTTCTATTTCCACGGTTGCAGTCACCACACCTATTGAACCATGAAAGTGCAACAATACTTTACCTTCCCAAACCTTGACAATACCACTAATACCTCCTTGACTAGGATTCCCCAAACAACATCCATTAAAGTGTTATTTAACCCAACCATTCCTAAGACGTTTCCCTAATCCTATCTTGATTTTCTTATCAGACTTCTC